GGTTCTCCAGGCTCACCACAGCACCCACACGGGCTATTTTAGCTCCTGGAGGAGCAGCCAGCACTGAATCCCCCGGGAAAAGGCACCATCCAGCCCCTCCAAGCACAAACCCCTTCTCCAAAGGCTCCTCCACCTGGAGCAAGGAGGTCTCACTTGGAAGCAGGGAAAGCCACCAGGGAAAGTCACCTCCCAGCAGGGAATCTGCTCCACCCCCAGCCAGAAGAGCTCCTCAGAACCCTCTGCACCAGTGCTGGGAAGGGGTTTGGATGGATCCAGAAGGATCCAGAAGGAAAGCACAGCCCCCAGACCCCCCCGGATTCCAGGTAGGAGGCCCAGCTGCTGAGGGGCAGCTGCCAATCCAGCTGATCCCAGAGCCAGGAAAGGGGCCAAACCCGGGAGAGGGTGACCACAGGCAGCTCAGAAAGTGGATTTGGGGATGGTGGGGGTGGCAGGGGGGTGTGACAGCCAGCAGAGCAGCCCTGGGAAGAGATGTCCTGATGTGCTCTCCTCCCCACAGGCTTCCAAGGACTCCCTTCTCTGTGGTGATCAGGGATAGGACCCCTGGGAATGGCTGGAGCTGGGACAGGGCAGGTTTAGGTTGGATATTTGGAAAAGGTTCTTCCCCCAAAGGGAACTCCACATCCTCACGGATCCTGAAAACTCCACATCCTCATGGATCCTAAAAACTCCATGTCCTGTTCATGGATCCTAAAAACTCCATGTTCTGCTCATGGATACTGAAAACTCCATGTCCTGTTCATGAATCCTGCAAACTCCTCATCCTGCTCATGGATCCTGCAAACTCCATGTCTTGTTCATGGATCCTAAAAACTCCACACCCTGCTCACGGATCCTGCAAACTCCACATCCTCATGGATCCTGAAAACTCCTCATCCTGCTCATGGATCCCAAAAACTCCACACCCTACGCATGGATCCCAAAAACTCCATGTCCTGCTCATGGATCCTGCAAACTCCATGTCCTGCTCATGGATCCCAAAAACTCCATGTCCTGTTCATGAATCCTGCAAACTCCTCATCCTCCTCATGGATCCTGCAAAGTCCACACCCCGCTCATGGATCCTAAAACCTCCATGTCCTGCTCATGGATCCTGAAAACTCCACATCCTCATGGATCCTAAAAACTCTATGTTCTGCTCATGGATCCTGAAAACTCCATGTTCTGCTCACGGATCCTGAAAACTCCATACACTGCTCATGGATCCTAAAAACTTCACATCCAACTCATAGATCCTGCAAACTCCACATCCTCATGGATCCTGCAAACTCCATGTCCTGCTCATGGATCCTAAAAACTCCATGTCCTGTTCATGGATCCTGCAAATTCCACACCCTGCTCATGGATCCTGAAAACTCCTCATCCTGCTCATGGATCCTAAAAACTCCATGTCCTGCTCATGAATCCTGCAAATTCCACGTCCTCATGGATCCTACAAATTCCACATCTTGCCCATGGATCCTGCAAACTCCACATCTCCATCCCAGTGCCCCCACAGAGCCCTGCAGGCAGAGGGAAGGTGGAGAGAGGGAGGGAAGGAAGGAGGGAAGGAGGAGGCTCCAGCCCTTACCTGTTCCTGCAGGCTCACGGCTCGTCTGCTGCGGCCCCCCAGGAGCCACTGTGGGGTGACACGTTCTCCGTGGGACGGTGGCCCTGGGGAGGAGAAGTCCTGGTGAACAGACCCTGCCAGACCCTGGGAGCTGGAGCTCCTCCACAGCCCCATCCAGAGGGAACTCGGGAACATCCAGAGCCTCCTCTCAGGGATGTTTCTGGGAAGGGACACCGGAATGAAGCCAAAGCATCGCCCCTTTCCCAGCTCAGCACCCTCATTTCTGGCCCAGCCTTAATCCTGGA